TCCGGGTCCTTCTTCCCGCCGGACTGGACTCCCGTGATGAGGTCGATTCCGAGCTTGCTGAAGTTGTGGATGGTTCGCCCACCGATGTTGCTCGCCAAGGAATTCATGGGGGCGGTCTTGATGAAGTGCACCTCGTGTTCCCATCCCATGCACGTGGGGAACAGCCCCACGCCCTCCTCGCACCGCCACCGGATGACCTCCGATTTCCCTGAACCCGGCAGGCCGAGAACGAACAGCCGGGAGCATGGCGATCCGCGCAGCTGGTCCTGCTCGCGGGCCTCCTGGACGCACCGGTCGGCGACGGCGTCCAGGATGCTCATCTGCTGCGGGTCGGGGGTGATCTGGTGCGTCTGCAGTCCTGCGATCGGGCAGGGATGCGCATGGCCTTGCCTCCCTTCACACTACCCACCTTACCGACGACTGATGCACAACCCTGTCTGCTACACATCACACGTGCCGCGCCACCTGCCTGGCATGCCCAGACGTGTATACATCAGGGAAGTCCATGTTTATACATACACACACTATACGCGCGTGCACATGTAGACGCGTACGCGCACCTTCCACAGAGCACGCATGGCGCGACCGAGGCAATGCAAGCAAACGCAGCGCCATCCTTCTAAGTGTATACACGAAGCCTCGCTTGTAATCAACCTTCCCCATACTTGGATCTACTCACCACTTACGACATGACGTTCTGGAGTATACATGATGTGTACACATTCTGCACATGCTCTGTACAAACTCTGTTCGATACACGCCAGCTCAAACGCCGAGGTTTCCATCCTCGATATCTTCTTCCAGAGCGAGACGAATCGGGCGCCCCCGACCGAACTGCATCCAGATCGTGCTTTTGCCAACTGCACGTCTCGAGATTGCCCCCCCCGGTCCTCTCCGCCAGCTCTGGATGTTGCTTGTCAGGTCAGCGTCGCCAGGGTACAGCTTCTCCCGCATCTTGGAGCGCGCAATCTTCCGCGGTGGCTCCTGGGCATTCCCGCGAGCCCCCGCTGGCATTGCACTGGAATGCCGAAGAGCAGACTGTCGCAGTGGCAAGTTCAACGTGGGCGCCCTGTTCGGCGGGTCCCAGAAGGACATGCTCTGCTCCAGCGCTTTGTGCACCGAATGGGAGAGGTTCCCAATGTCCTCGCCAGCGGCATCTGCCCCGGCGTCTCGGTCTACTCGCCGTAACTCTGCCATGATGCTGCTGGGGCTGAGGACCGGAAACGCGTTCTCGGGTAGCGCCTCCACCGGCTTCGAGTCCTGGTCGTCCTCGCCCTCGTCGGCGTTCTCCGGCATCGTCGTCATGGTGCGGAGCACGTTCGCCCACAGGATGCGGTTGGACGGCGAGACGATGTGGCCGCGAAGGTAGTGCTTGAGGGCAACTCGGAAGCTCGGCGCGCTCCTCCCACAGCGCTGGCGCTTGGGCGGCAAGTTCAGATTCTTCGCTAGCGGAACAGGCCCCCGAGAAGATCCGTACTTGCACACCAATGTCCATGGTCGGAAGTACGCAGACAAAATGGCGCTGCGGCGCTCAGGCGTCATTTCGGGCTAAGGCATGACGGACCCGATGAAGACGGGTAGCGCGGGGACGCCCCGGGGTACAATCACGTACATGTGCGCGAACTCCATGTCGTCTGGGTCTTCTTCGAGCGCAAAGTACCTGCATCCCTCCGCGGGTGGCTTCACGACATAATGGACCCCAGGCCGTGAGGCCCATCAGCCGCGGCCGGCGGCGAATTCGCCTTCCACTCCGTCGGGCCCGTCGATGGCTTCGAAGCATCTCTTGGTGGCGGGTACGTTGGTACCACCTCGAACAAGCGGACGAACTCGTACGGGCTCAAAGTCTTCAACTCGGCATGAGTGGGTCGGTAGGCGTACGCTCGCGCCGTCGCGTCCGGCGGAGTGGCCACCTCGCCTGCGTCCGTGAACACCACGGACCTCTTCTGGCGCCGCGCCGTCGCGCGCCCCGCCCGAGTCTCGTCGGCCACGATCTGGAGGAAGCAGCCCGCGTAGAAATCGGCGACAGGGCACGACGTGATGCACTCCGCTGCGAGCGGGTTCGGCCTGTCCGCGAAGTGCGCCAAGTTCACCTCCTCGAAGATCGTTCGCGCCACGCCCTTGGCCTCCCAGTCCCCGATGCAGCGGTGCACAGTGTTGAGCGTCTGCTGCATCTCGGACTTCCCATGGAGTCGCTCGGCCAGCGTGGACAGGCAGGTCTTCGCCAGTTCCCGCGCCTTCTTCCCGACGCGCTGCACCTTGGAAATGTACCCGCCGATGTACCGCGAGGAGTTCGACATGGACCGCTGCACCGCGAATGCGATGCGTCGAAGGTGCCCTTCTTCTGTGTCTTCTCTGGAGCCGTGTCGACACAGGCAGTTCGGGTCGTGAGTAATGCCTGTGATCAGCGGGAGCCGGTTGTTCGGCGCCGTGTGCGTGTTGCTCCGAAATGCCACCGCCAATGCTGGACAAGTCCCGCTCAGGAAGTCGTCGTTCCGAGGCCCCGCGATCTCGCCCAACGCACTCCTCGGCCCGTTCACTTTAAGCCCGACTTCCCTGGCCACCTGAGGGCACACAATGCGGAATCTCGGTCCATCTGGGGCCGCCATGAGCATGGTCTTCGGGAAGCCGTGCTTGCACTTGTCGCCGTGTTTGCAGCCTTTCTTGATGCAGTGTGTGAGCGGCTTCCCGTTGGGATGGTGGTGATGCTGAACCTTCGAGAAGATCATCTGCGCATCTGCCTCGTAAGCCTGCTTGAAGGTGGCCGCGTCGGCGTCGCAGGCAACGGCATCGCACCCCTCGTCCCACTTCGTCTTCGGCTCGGCATGGTCCACATACGCGGGCCACCGACACAGACCTACGTGCTCCGATGCGCGGTGATTCTGCCGCCACTCAGACTCCAGCGACGGTAGGCTCTCCCGGTGCTCCTCGGGGGCCCAGTGCTCTTCCCTGTGGACCCACGCGTGCCACTCCTTCACCGCGTCCGCCAAGCCAGGGGACTCCCGATTTGTCCTCGCGATCTCAGTCAAGGGTGCGTGCTGGAACATGTTCGCGAGGTACACGAACCCGTGGAAGTGGAGCGTGCCTAGGTGCTGGTTCTCGACGGCGCCAAGCAACGCTGCAGCAACCCCGAAAATCCCGCCCATGGGGCGCGAGTTGGAGCCGAACTTGTCCGTGCAACAGCACCGGGGCTGCCTACGATATCTTCGCGCGACGCCGCACTCGGCGCACAACCGCATACCCAGGAGGCGGCCCAAGATCACGTTCACGGCGACGCGGAAGCCCTGAACGACCGAGAGAGGATCATTGGCCACTTCGCACAGACGCAAATCGAAATCGGGGAGCTCCGCGTCGGCGCTCTCCGACAATGACGGCCACTCCCGTGACGCCAATCGTTTCCTCATGGCATTCCGTGCGTCGTCTGTGCACCCCGCGCGCAGCGGCGGGTCGCCCTGGCGTGCTCTGTGTAGACGCATCACCAAGCAGGACTGCTTCTGATTTGGCGAGATGGTGATGAAAAGCCCGTGCCCGTATCCAACCGCGCCAGACTGGAATACGTGGCCCATCCTGCGACGCAGCTCCTGGGTGCCTGCAAGGCTGCTCGTCACAGAGCGCATGTTGTGCACGATCTGTTTCTGGGTTGTGTCCAGGCCATGCGCCATGTGCAGCACCGTCAAGTTGCCAGCAATTGGCCGCCTGTTCGGCCCGTAGTACCCCTTCGCCAACAGGTCGTGCAACCCGCGGACAGCCGTGGTCAGGCGCTCCGTGAAAGCGGATCCGTCTTCGTCCTTGTACTTCCTGACTTTGCTCCCCAACCTCGCGGTGATGCCCAAAAAGCGGAAGTGACATTGCGCATGCCTGGGATGAAGAGCCAGTCCGATCGGATTTTGGGTTCCACTCGAGCGACAACATGCTGCAAAAAAAAAAAAAAACAAAAAAAAAAAAAAATAAAAAAATGCAAAAAAAAAAAAAACAAAAAAAAAAAAATAAAAATTAAAAAAAAAAGAAAAGAAAAAGAAAAAAACCCCCAGACCATCAAAAAACCTAAAACACAAAAAAATCACACACACCAACACAAAAAACAAAAAACAAACCCGCGACAACCCGCCAACAACCAACCCCCCCCCACCACACACCCCTCCCCCCCCTCCCACAACCACCCCCCCACCAACCCCACTCACCCCCCCCCACCCCCCCCACTCGCCCCACCCCCATGCAGAAGGACGGCCGGTTTGCACTTCCTCGGGCCGCCCCACCGCGCGGCGCCGATGTGCGGCATCGGCACCGTTGCGCCAAGACCTCGTGAAGTCTGGCCCCCCGCTCTGCCGCAGCAGCGTGTGCGGGAAAGCGATCGCGGGGTACTTCCCGTTCCACTGCTCCAACATGGCCGCGTCGGCGACGTACGGGACGACCGGCCCGCCGTCCATGGCTCGCTGTTGGCGCTGACCCGCGGTCCCTTGCCGGGACGTCGCATCTGTGGGCGCGCAGGCGGTCGGTCTGGCATCGTCGAAAACAGAGGCGACGTCAGTGCTGGCCAGCGCCGGAGTCGCGTGCTTGTTATCCTGCACACTGCTCCTGGACGGATCCGCCACCACCGTCGCCCGGTCCACGGCTGGCGGGACCTTCCCGTCGGTGTCCTCGGGGGTGCCGAGCCACGGGTAGCACTGCTTCACGCGCCTTTCAATCGCCTCCTTGGCAGCGGCGATTGCGATGGGATTGCCAGCAGCATCTCTACAAAAAGCGGGGTGGCCGCGGTCGATGAGCTCCCAGCCGAGCTGCAGCACCACATGAGCGCGGAGGCGCATGTGCTTCAGGAGCTTCGACATGTCCTTGTCTTTCATCCGGAACTCGAAGCGAACCAAGTGGGCCAGCGTCTCGCCGTCGTGGGGCAGCGCCGCAGCAGCACTGGAACTCTCCGTGATGGCGAGCAGGCGCTCCAGGACGTCGTCCCAATGCACCAGGAAGCTGTCCAGATTACCGCGGACAGCGTACCGACTGTGCGGATGCATGGCCTCTGGGGTTCGCCGTGCGAGCAGTGGGCCACTACCCCCCCCCGTTCGCCACTCGCCACAACACTGCACGATGTAATAAAAAAAAAAAAAAAACAAAAAAATAACGCTGCACAAAAAACATAAGTCAGCATCAAAGTAACAATACACAATACGAAAAAAAAAAAAAAATCACTGCAAAGAAAAAAAAAAAAAGAAAACAAAAAAAGCAAAAGTAAAAAAAAAAGTAAAACAAAAAAAAAAAGGATAAATACTAAAAAGGAAAAAGTTTCCAGGGGGGCGGGGTCCGCAAAGAACAGAGAAGGGGCAGTGCCGCGCTACTTCGCGCAGCTCGCCTGATTGTTCATGAGGTGGCCCTTATCGCCCTCGACGTAGAACGCCATCAAACTCGTCCACACTGGCGTGGCCGCGGCCATCTCGATCCACCGGGGCTTGTGCTTCTCCCACCATGCCGACACGAACCCGACAAAATTGTCGTTGGCGATGGCGGGACGCGGGATTCGCTCCCGCACCGTTCGCGTCTTCGCGAAAATGCCGCGGCACTGCCAGCACAGAGGTATGCGGCACGACTCGCACAGCTCATCAACAACTCCATGCTGACGGTCGCACACCACGTCTTCCGGGCAGCACAGGAAGCGCATGGAGTTCTGGCTTCCGTTCGGACCATTCCACCGCACCGTTCGCACCCACGGCGAAGACGCGGTTGTCTGCGTCGGATAGTGGTGCGACCGCGTCCCGCGGTGGTCCGGAGCAGGGTGCGGGAAGTGCGCCAGGAACGCGTCCAAGCCGAAGGCGTACTCCAGGAGCTCACGCGGACAACTGCGCAAGAGCCCGCGCAGTGGCGTCCATCCAATCTCACTGACTCCAGCGGACTCGGGGTCCTCGACACTCGTGTAGATCTGACCGCAGCAGAAGCACACCAGCGACGACAAACAAGCATCGTTCGCCACTTGCCTCATGGTGCGAATTGCCCGCCGGTCTCTGCAAATGCCGAGAGCTGGCATGCCAGTGCGCGCCCGGACCTCCACCGCCTGGCAGTAGATGGACCAGATCCACGCTTCCTGCTCCTCCAGCACCTCGGCATGGACGCCGACATCGTCGGCGCTGTCAGCGAGTCTCTTGTTCCACCCCTGCCTCCACGCTGCTGGGAGGCAGGCCTGGTGGCAGCTGAGTACGTGGCGCCGCAAATCCCCTTCCGTCTCCCCGGTCCAGCGGCACTGCCGAACGGCGCAGTTGCAGATCGGCCACTGCAATCCGTCCATTACCTCCTGGATGTTGTCTGCGGCGTCCGACGGGTCGAACGGCGGAGGAAGCGTCGGGTCCTGCCGGAGAAATGCAGAGAAAGCCCGAGCTGCTTCGTGGGCGACGTCCAGCGTCGTGTGCGCCACGTCGGCGCCGCAGGCCAAGTGGTCAACGTCGGGAAAACAACAACCCCTGCTCTTGACCCGGCAGGGGCCCTTCTACTGACAGCCTCGGAATTGAGTCCGACGCCGCTCTTGAGGGCGATGACTACCCGGTAGGCGTCGGAGTCAGACTCCGGGGCCATCCGCTGTGCACGGCAATGCTCTTTCGCGTTCGCCCTGCGGTCGAGACGCCCTGACCGGCGCGCGGCAAGCCCGCGCCCCGTCGGCGGCCTGCGGGCGCGCTTTGCTGTCTGATGCTCCGCGCCCCGCCGCACTCCCCTCTCAGTGAACTGCAATCGCCCGAACGCCTCGGCCTTCAGGATGATCATCTGCGGCCGGAAGAAGCTCCCGAGCGGCCGCGCCAAAAAACAGTAAAAAAAAAAACAAAAAAAAAAATAAAAAAACAAAAAAATAAAAATAAAACAACAAAAAAAAGAAAAAATAAAAAAAGACCGTAAAAAAAAAACAAATAATAATAAAAGCGGAAGAGTCTGCCGCGCCGACTACATGGCGCGAGCGTGGAGGCCGGGGTTCAGGATGCGGCGGCGGCGGTGGAGGTGGCAGCGGTGGCGCGGTCTCCACTCCCAGAGGGTCGTCGAGAATACGTAGAACCTGATGACAGAAAGCCGCCACGTCCTCCTCGCCGAATAGCGCATCCACGTCAGCGAAACACGACGGGTCGCTGAACTTCCCCCGGCACGCGGTCGACGGCTCCCACGGTCGCGGAGCGTTAGCTCCTGACGTCGCCACGTCCACCGCATCGTAGTGTGAATACCCGTCGACGTCATAGTGGACAAAAGCAAAATCGAGCACTGGGATTTGCGCACGTCCCTGCAGCAACCCCTGGTCCGGGAAGATGGCCGCCTGGCTCCACGCGTTGAATGGCACGCACAGAGCGAGAGCGCCACAAGCCTCCAGGAAGTGCGTGATCACAACAGCGTCTGCATATCGGCGCGTTGCCGACACGTCCTCCGAATGGAGGCCCATGCATATGTCCACGTAGAACACCTGCAGTGGGCGGGGGCAAGAGATAACGCGGGGGTCACTGCGACTCCGCCATTGAAAGCCAGACCAGTCCCCCCAAAAATTCCTTCGCCCGAGTGAACGCATAAGCGCGGCCCCAGACGCCCTCTCGGCAACGCCCCGACGGCCCCGCCCTCAGAGTTCGAAAGCATCGCGTGCCTCCTGTGCAAGCACTATTTGGGAAATGTGCTCCTGGATCTCCGGGCTCCGCGAAGGGCACCCCTTCCTCCCCGTGCCCGCGGCGCCACCTTCCAGTTGGGGAGACTGCCCCACGCGACGCCACTGGCCACCTGCGCTGGCAACTCCTTCTGCAGGCGGGCCCTCCTCTCCACGGCGTACTCGTCCAGCTGCAGCGCCGCGAACAATTGCTGGTTCCGCTGCTTCATCATCTTCACCAGCGTCCATCTGTACAGCTTCCAAGCCGCGCGGCCTGGAAGTCCCAGTTCGGCAGCCGCAGCGCGGAAAAAGCACAGCCCGTCTCCACGAACAGGGCGCACGGACAGCCGCATCCCTGGCCGCGTCGCCGAGAGCAGATCAGCCACGCGACCCAGCGACTCGTTGGCGCAACTAATGCGGGACCGCCTGATGGCCTCCCCGTCATCGTCGAGCCCAACCTCGCTCACGCGCGCCTGGTCGACTGCGAACTCCTCGTCGCTCGACTCCGCCATGGCGCGCCAGAAGCGTCGCCGCCCCGCGGGCCAACTGGGCAGCCCTGACTGCGGCAAGACTGGACCCCGGAGCCGCTATCGAGCCCACATGGTTTACAGATGCCGCGCGCGCTGAGATGGGCCATTGTGGGACGCACGGCTAATGGGCGAATTCCGATGCGACCTCAGGTTGCGCGGCGCTCGGCGCATGCTCCGGGGTTGTTTTCAAAATGGTCTTGCATTGAAGCGTGATTTTCGGAAGGGCGCTCGCAGACGCCACGCAGCCCCCTGGGGCTCCACGATCCCGGAAGTCTAAAAGGACCTGGGGTTCACAGAGACAGAATGGATCACAACCTCCGATGCCCCAGCGAACGTGCTGCCCGCCCACAGGGGTCGGATCAAAAGGCCTCGAAGGTGCAGCCAGGAAGCAGAATCACAGAGCCCGAGATCGGCTTGGCCATCGCTCCCCGGAGTATCTCCCGCGGTCACTGCGGGTTCGCATTGCAGTTTAAACGCGACCTCAGGTTGCGGGACAGACAACGCAGAAGTTCCCCAGCAGTGATGAAGACGATGGTGGTGCTCATGATGGTGACCGTTATCGTGTGGCCTCGTGCGCCGGCGAGTGATGATGACGATGGTGGTGCCGGCGATGGTGATGCCGATGGTGGTGTTTGTCGTCCTGGTGGTGCTGATGATGGCAGGTAGGATGATGATGGCGAGGCTGATGATGAAGGAGGTTGCTTTCAAAAATCGGACAGACCACTGGGATAGCTTCAGAAAGATGAGGGAGGGAGGTTTTTGCAACAGCGCTGGACGTACAAGCCTAGACCGAGCGTTTGGGGTTATGGCTGCTTTCGCTTTTTATTGTGCTCGAAAAAGGTCAAAGCTAATGTACATGCAGCACCGTGCGAGCAGCTGCGGATCGAAAGTCCCGATAATCATGGGAGCGCGCTGTATGGCCGACGGGGAGAGCTGGAAAATGTTACTACCTGAGCGCTGGACTACCTGAGCGCTGGAACGAGTCATGCGGGTTCACCCCTCAGTGTCAAGAGATGTGCAAGCACGACGAGGCGTTGGTCAAGAGGCCTGGTCAAAACTGCCGCTGAGAAGGCAAAGCTGGTTCTAGCAAGGACACGGTCTTCTTGCAGTCGGTGCTGCGCGTGCTCGCAGCGGTGTGGTCGTCCTCTCCGAGGAGGCCCCCGATTGCAAACTTGGCCTTGTCAAGTCCCCGCACGAAGACATTCAAATACCTCGTGCCAGCCAGGGTATGCCCGCGGACCACCTTTGGGAGACGAAAAAGTACCGATACCGCTACCCCCATGGACCTCTCCTGGGGTGCGTTCTGGTCAGAATCTCAAGGCGAATCCGGCCGTGGCAGCGAGGGACCTGAGGGAAGTTCAGGAGGCCCAGGAGGGCCACAGCGGCGGTGGGGTGGCGGTATCGGTACCTTCTCCTTCTCCGAACCTTCACGTGTATGCTGTGAAAGGTGCTCCACTTGGCGTGGCCTGGCCCGATGGAGTCCACGGTCCAAGCGAGGCCCGACGCTCGGTGGCGCGTCCAGACGCCCGAGATGTTGACCTCCGTAAAATCCGTCACCGTGCCCTCCTGCACGGAGTGGGCGTGTCCTGAGACCCCATTCGGCCTCTTGGGACTCCTCCATGCAACTCCTCCTCCTCCTACTCCTCCTCCTCCTCCTCCTCCTCCTCCTCGCGATCGTTCCTGAGGAATCGTCGCCAAATCTCCCGGGCCGCGCCGCGTCTCCGAGGGTCCGCGCGCCCGACCCGACCCGACACGCCCGTTAGGGTCCGCCCGCCCGACCCGACCCGACCCCACCCGTCAGTTAGAGTACTCGCGTTAATGTCCCGCCCGCCCGACCCGACCCGCCCGCCAGGGTCCGCCCGCCCGACCCGACCCGACCCAACCCGCCCGTTAGGGTTACCGCGAATCAACTCGATTACGCACCACCACACTTTAATGTCCTGCCCGCCCGACCCGACCCGCCCGTTAAGGTCCGCCCGACCCGACCCGACCCGACCCGACCCGACCCGCCCGATAAGGTTTTCGCGTTCCCGCCTTCATTTCGCCCTTGTCTCCGCTCTCGTTCTCGCCTTCGTTCTGGCTTTCGTTTCGCCTTGATTGCCACCTCGTTATCGCATCGGTCTCGCTTCGTTTCGCTTTCGTTCGCGTTTTCGTTTTCGTTCTCGCCTTCCTTTCGGTTTCGTTCCGCTGTCGTTGCCGGCAGCACTCTCGATGTCGTTTACGCCTTCGCTTTCCTTTCGTTGCTCCGCGGGCGCACTCATTTCCCGGGTCGCGCGGAACGTGGCAGATTACGCAGGAGCACGGCTGAGCACGCAGGCGCACGGCAGACCAAACAGATTCGCGGCCGACAAAGCAGAAGCACGGCTGACGATGCAGGGGCACGGCGGAGCAGACAGGAACACGGCTGATCACGACGGAACAGGGCAGAACACGAAACAGCACGGCAGAGCACAGAGGACCACCGCAGACCACGCAGCAGCACGGCAAAGCATGCGGTAGCACGGCAGACCGCCGGGAGAACGGCAGACCAAACCAACCGGGTCTTCCCAAACCAAAAGGGTTGTCCCAAACCACCCGGTTCTTCCCAAACCACAACGGCCGGGTCTTGCCAAACCAACCGGGTCTTCCCAAACCAAACGTGCCCTCCCAAACCATCCTGGTCTTCCCAAACCACAGCGGCCGGGTCTTCCCAAACCAACCGGGCCTTCCCAAACCAAACGGGCCATCCCAAACCACCCAAAACTTCCCAAACCACAACGGCCGGGTCTTCCCAAACCAACCGGGTCTTTCCAAACCGAACCGGCCTTCTAAAACCACTTGGGTTTTCCCAAACCACAACGGCGGGGTCTTCCCAAACATCAGGTCTTCCCAAACCAACCGGGTTTTCCCAAACCGAAGCCTGGGTCTTCCCAAACCGAAATGTCTTCCCAAACCACGAGAGTAGGCCGGGTTTTCCCAAACCACCACCGGTCTTCCCAAACCAAACGGCAGGGTCTTCCCAAACCAACCGGGTCTTCCCAAACCACAATGGCCGGGTCTTCCCGAACCAACCGGGTCTTCCCAAACCACAACGGCCGGGTCTTCCCAAACCAACCGGGTCTTCCCATACCAACCGGCTCTTCCCAAACCGACGTCGTCTTCCCAAACCAACCGGGTCTTCCCAAACCACGAGGCCCGGGTCTTCCCAAACCAACCGGGTCTTCCCAAACCAACTGGGTCTTCCCAAACAAAACCGGGTCTTCCCAAACCAAGACCTGGGTCGCCCAAACCAAGGTTTGGTTTGGGAAGACCCGTTTGGTTTGGGAAAGACGCCCCTCCCCACCTATAGCCCTCGAAATGTTCCCTGGAGGCATCCCAAACACCAAGACGCCATCAAAAAAACACAGCAAAAGCCAATACGTTCGAAAACGCCTCGCTCTGGTCGCCGTCCTTCCTTAGTTTCTCGGCCCTTCTCCGTTCCTCATCTTCTGGGGTTCGGCGGAAGGGCGAACGCCTTCTGAATGCATCTCCCCGCAAGCGGCCCCAAGCTGCTCTACGCTCGCCTTGACGAGCAGCCTCGTGGCGTCAAGCGACGCGCCCCGTGGTACCTGGAGGAGCACATATGCGCCAGGCTGGTAGATGTCGAAATGCTCCCCGTATATGTTGACCAAATGTGGGTCGCCGGTACCCTGGACTGAAGACGGGGTCGGAGACGGAGTCGGATCAGCCGACCCCTCGCGACGGGGATCGCAAGGCGCGATCTGGACCACGCCAACGCGAGGCGGGATAGACCCCGGCAGGACAGGTAAGCCCACGCGACAGCTTGACGCGAACGCGTGAATATTGCGAGGGGGTACTGGAAAAGGCCTGAGCGTTTCACGGATGAGTGGCAGTAAGGAGTTGGAGCGCTAAGTTCGGGGATGTCTTCGTCCAGTCTTGGGGCAGCTCTCGAGTTTGTGCGCAGGAGGAAAAACGCGAAGCGTCATGAGCCTGATCGGACAAGGACGCGAAGCACCGCTTGTGTCAACTGGGCTCGTTTGATGCCGCCTGTGGTTCTGCTGCAATCTGCTGCGTTTGGCAACGTGCTGGCGCTATTGAGCCTCTCCTGGGCCAACGACGGCATAACTAGGATGAGTTTACCATGTCTCGGAGGCCTCGTGAGCCGCCTTGGGAACCTCTCGGCCAATCTTGAAACCCAGTTGGACCGTTCTGGGGGGCCCTCTTGGGCCATCTCGGGGCCCCTGTTGACACGTCTTGGTGCACCCCTGGGAGCGAGTCCAAGACGAGACTGGTTCGGAGCCCCTTCCGTCATCCATCTCATGAGGATGTCTCAATCGAAACGGCAGTTTTCAAACCTGACTGGACAAGAACGGGAAGCGCCCATTTGTCAACGAAGCTTGTCAGAGACGCGGCCTCTTCGATGATGTCGCAGCGACCGAGAGAACGTAGACCGACAGCGCAGCACCACGGCAAACCATGACGACAGACCATGGTAGGACGGCAGACCAAACCAACAGACCACAAGTGCACCGCAACACAAGAACGGCGGACCACCGTAGCACGGCAGACCACAGCGGCAGCCCACAGGAGCACGACGAACCAACGCCACGGACCAGAGGAGCACGGCGACAGACCACAAAAGCACTTCCAAAACGACATAGAGGCGATGTTGCGCGAACAGGTCCAATGTGCGAGATTGTTCCTAGCAAAACTGCCGTGTTCACGTTCCCAAAGGACGTCGAAGCGTTCGCTTATGTTAGTCTGCCATGTTCCTGCAACTGGGCCCGAGGATATCTGCAGCCAGAGCGTCGCTGTTAACATGAGAGGCAGCACTGCAGCTCTCTCTCTCTCTCTCTCTCTCTCTCTCTCTCTCTCTCTCTTTCTCTACATTTCATGTGCTTGAGAATGCCTCAAGCGAAACACCTATGTTCGAAGAGCCACTCCAGATGTACCCCTTACCGCAGTGAGGAGGAAGGCACGCATGCATCTCTCACCTCCTCCTCCTCCTCCTCCTCCGCCTCCTCCTCCTCCTCCCATTCCTCCTCCTGTCCCTCCACCCTCCTCCTTCGTCCTGCCTCCCCAGCCTGTTCTTTCACATCCTCCTCCTCCTCCTCCTCCGTCTTCCTCCGTCTTTATCCTTCGTTCTCTCCCCTCCTCTTCTTCCACAACTTCCCCTGCTCCTCCTCCTCCTCCTCCTTTTCTTCATGTGCCGTTTTCCATCTCCCCGCCCCATGTCCCGATCTCTTGGCAGAGCCATCAGCTCGTCGTCCTCGTCGTCGCACCCTCGCCACCGACATAGTCATCCTTCGAGAACGGCGGCAGTGGTCGTACTAGCAAGGCCCGCTCGATCCGATGCCAACACTGGCAATGCAACTTCCTCCAACACGGCTCCAAGAGAGCCCCTAGGGCTCTCAAGAGGCCCCCAAGAGGCCCCGAGGAGGTCGGAATTATCTCCTTCGAAGCAGAGGCGCCAGGGACCGCCGAGTCCTCTGCTCCCCCGCTCGCCCTCATCCAATTCACCCTCCGTTCGCACCTCCAGGGGCACGACGGATTCCCCAACCCGCTGTTCCTTCGTGCACTTTCCCATTTCCATGATCAGGTTGAGTCGCCTGGGCATCGTTGCTGGACGGGATGGTGGGAGCACGTGTTTGTCAGCAGCGCCATCGAGCGAGGGCGCGGGCGGGTCGATCGGGGCGCGGCCGAGCGAATTGGCTGGGATGCAGGGAGAAGGACCGAAGGCGGACACGAGGAAAAACGAGAGGAGGAGAGTGAACCGACGCGAGACGAGTCTAGCGCGCCCGGCTACCGGCGTCAAGTGTCTGGTGGGGATTTTTCAATCAGCAGGCCGCAAGCGAGAGCGCAAACGGCGAGTCGAGTCAGAGCAGGCCGCGCAAAGTCGACTTACCAAAAGCCGGCGGGGCCTCAGGCATCACCACGGCGGACAAGTTTGGTGGGGATACGCGAAGCGTCAACAAGAAGCTCTATGTCCAGGCAAGAGCGATCGTATGCTACAGAATTTGGGATCTACTCAGACCACACTCCAACACACGCTAGGTCTCGGCATTGGTTCGCCGCGCCGTGGGGCTACCGTCGGTCCTGTCTGGGAACAGACTGTGCGAGCGGTAAAGCGCGAAGCGCTTTGCATCACCCGCCAAGCCGTAGATGCGGACGACCCTGACGATCGGCGCCCACCCTGGTGTACCAACGGCGAGGCTTGTGCCGTCGGAGCTGAGGGACACAGAGCTGCCGACATTAGAGAAGCTTTCCACCTGCTGCCACGCATTGTCTGCCCAGTCGTAGATGCGGACGTACCTACTTCGTTGGCTGCGATGCTGTTGCGGGAAGGCACCAACGGCGAGGCGGGTGCCATCTGCGCTCAGTGAGACAGCCAGGCCAAATTGATCCCAAGAAGCGTCCCCGGCGACAGCGGATCCCGCCTGTACCCACGCATCTCCTTCCCAATCAAAGACGCGGACGCGGCCGCGGCTGTCGTCGTAGTAATACCCAGGGACGGCGACGCGACTGCCGTTTGCGCTGAGGGACACTGACACGCCCGTCCTCTCGTTGAGTTGTGTCCCGGTGATGTCGGACCCCACCTTCTGCCACGCACCCCCAACCCAGTCGTAGACGCGGACGCAGCCAAATCTGAAGCCTCCTGTACTGCAATAAGGTGCTCCGGCTGCGACGCGGCTGCCGTCAGCGTTGAAGGCCGGCGCGACAGCAAATCCTCCGTAGATGTAGATGTCAGCCCCCATCTGCTGCCACGTGCCTGACGCCCACCCAAAAACGCGCATCATGCCGTTCGTATCACCCATGGCAACGCGACCGCCGTCGGCGCTAAGAGAGAATTGATAGCCTCCTGCGCCTGCTGCTCCGGAGATATCGGATCCAACCTGCTGCCACGCCCCCCCTGCCGATTCATAGACGCGGGCGTTGCCCGAGGAGGTGAGCAGTGGCGAGGCGACTGCCGTCGGCACTGAGGGCCACAGCCATTCCAAACCCGTCACCAATAGCGTTCCCATTGAGGTCGGGCCCGACTTGCACCCACGCCCCCCCTGCCCAATCATAGACGCGGACGCGGCCAACGCCTTCAGCTGCTTCCGGTGCACCCATGGCGACGCGGCTGCCGTCGGCGCTCATGGAAACGGAGGCATGACCGACCGCAACATCTCCGTCTAAGTCGGACCCTATCTGCTGCCATGTTGCGGAAAGGATGTCGTGGGCGCGGACGGATCCCATCTGCTGCCATGATGGCTTGGCCACGTCGCGGGCGCGGGAGACAGCGCCGTGGCGATCGCTCGGGACTACGTGTCGCGCAAGCCCATGGGAAAAAAGAATTGCGATCAACGCAACAGGGGACGCCGCGTTGCCCAACATCTGCCACTACTGGGCAACGACGGACGGCCTGCAGAGCGTCAGCAGATCGCTCGCGGAGGGCGGAGTACAGTAAGCAGACTTGCTGCAATTGAGCTAGAGCCAGAGCCATGAGCATTGACAGTGGCACGTTCTGTGGCACGCCACGCCAACGCGATGTGGAATCGTGACAGGTTCCCCACACCCTGGCCCCCCCCCCACACACACACACACACAACAAAAAAAAAAGGGGCCATGTTGTGACACGTCACGCGGGCCCGATTTTGAACCGTGAAGGGTTCTCTATCCTCGGACCTAACACCAAACTCTGGATCATAGTGTGAAGGTTGCCGGGGCCGTCTCGGAGTCATCTTTGGGCTCTCGGGGCCTCTTTTGGGACTGCCGAGCCAGTTTTATCCAAGCAGGTCGCTGGGTAAGTCAGACATGGAGCAGCCGCGGAGTAGAGAAGACATCCCTGATAATCCTTCCAGACCTCTCCAGGCTCCCTTGAATTCCTCCTGGAAGGTTTTGAGATTGTTGGGCATGTGTTGGACCTCACCCCGTGGAGGACGATGAACAGCACGCAGGACAAGGGCAACATCGGATCGATATGCATCGGGCACCGTCTCTGAGACCCAGCGGGTATTGAGGATGTGTCCGGCGCCGCGGCGGACCCGGAACACTCCGCTCCAGATGTGTCAGATTGCTGGGGCCAGGCCGGACAGGGCGGGCTGCTTTATGTTTTAAAAGACACCAGATCGGGACAGAATTGCGTCAGAGGACTTGGGCCACACCCGCCCAGGGCTTGTTTGTTTCATTAAGAAAACACCAGATTGGGGCAGAATTGGAACCGGGGCCAGGCCGGCCTGGAGACGTGTTGATTGTTTACCAAGACACCAGATTGGGACAGAACTGTGTCAGAGGCCCCAGGGCCAGGCCTGGCAGAGGCGAGTCGCTTTTTAACTAAGAAGACACCAGATTGAGACAAAATTGTGTCAGGGAGCTGGGCCCAAGCTGGCTGGGGAATGTGTTTTGTTTGTTTCAAAAGACACCTGATCGGACAGAACTGTGTCAGCGGGCCAAGGCCAGGCCAGGCAGGGGCGAGTTGGTGTTTGATTAAGAGGACACCAGATCGGGACATAATATTGTGTCAGGGAAGTGGGCCCAGCCCGCCCCGGGGATGTATTGTTTGTTTACAGGGGCGCCAGATCGGGACAGAATTGTGTCAGGGGGGCCAGGCCTGCCCGGGGGTGTGTTACTTGTTCAAAGAATACCAGATCGAAACAAAATTGTGTCAGGGGTTCGGGGTCAGGGCGGGCAAGGGGGGATATTGTTTGCATACACGGGCATCAGATCGGGACAGAATTGCGCCAGGGGACCGGGACCCGCCTGGGGTTGCTGTTATATCAAGACGACACCAGATCGGAACATAATTTATTGTGTCAGTGGCCAGGCCAGCCTGGGGAGGTGTTGATTGTTTAATTGAGAGAACGCCAGACCGGGACATAATTGTGTCACAGAGCCGGGGCCAGGCCGGGCAAGGGGGTTGTTGTTTGACCCAAAGGACACCAAATCGGAACAGAATTGTCAGGGGACCGGGGACAGGCTGGCCCATGGGAGTAATGTTTGTTCAAGAGGACGCCAGATCGGGACAGAAGTGCGTCAGGGGACCGGGGCCAGGATTTCCGGGGCAGGTTGTTGTTTGATCAAGAAGGCCCCAGGTCGGGGCAGAATTGTGTCAGGGGATCAGGGCCCGGATTTCCGTGGCGGCTTGGTGTTTCGTTAAGAAGACACCAGATCGGGACAGAACAGGGGGCCAGGGCCAGGCCGGCCCGCGGGTGTGTTATTTGTTGATGAAGACCCCAGATCGGGACAGAATTGTGTCAGGCCGGGGCCAGGCCAGGCAGGCTGCTGTTGTTTATTCAAGAGGACCCCAGATCGGGAGAATAGTGTCAGGGGACCGGGGTTAGGCCACCGGGCCCGGGCGCCCGGGTGCCCGGGTGCCCGGCGGTGCCCGGGTGCCCGGGTGGCCGGCGAGGTGCGTGGCCGATTTCCTGCGCTCGGAGCGGCGCTACTTCCCGGCGCCGCCCTGGCGCGGCACGGCCGCGGCAACCGCGGCGAGGGCATCGAGGTTGAGGGCGCTCACTGTCTCCGCGTTCTCCATGGGCTCCAGGGCGCGCAGGAGGTCGCCCGTGGGGGGGCTGTCGCGCACGAGCGCAAGCAGAACCTCCAGGCCGTCGAGCAAGGGCTCCAGCCCGTCGAGCTTCGCCATGTCGTCCGCCAGCATGGCCGCCTGCGCATCTGCCTGCAATGATTCGAGGAAGCGATCAAGCTTCGCCACGATCTTCGCAACGGCCGCCTCCGGCGACATGTCCCTCGCCGCCGCCGCGGCTGCCATGTCCCCCTCGATCATCGTCAGGCGCTGCGCCCACTCGAGCCTTCGAACGGGGGTTGCATTTCCCGAGGCAACGCGCCCTCTGCGCCGCCGCATCGGGAGCGGTGCGCGGGGATCGGGAAGACCGCGACATGAACGCGATAATCATAGCCGCGCTTGCCTTCCCGAGGCGGAAACGCTCGGGCGCCCCCCCCGAAAATGCAACCCTCGCGCGGCAACCTGTCGGCCGGGAAAGCCGCCGCCGGCCAGCGAGACACGGTGCCCGCGAGCGCCTCCGCGCCGACCCCCGGCATCTCCACGAAACGCTTGACCGCGGCAGCGATGTCCAGCTGAATGCCCTTGAACGCACGGTATTTCGCCCTCTCCGCAGACTGCGCTGCGCTCCGCGCTTCCCCCGCTGCGAACGCCGTCGCCGCCTCGAGGTACGCGCCCACCGTCACCTCCGCCGCGGCGGCGGTCGGCGCCGGGACGGCGTGGGCCAGCGGCGCGGCCGCGGGCGCCGGCGCCTGCGCATCCCCGGCGACGCCCGCAGGCGGAGCCACCGCCGGGACCGCCAAGGCTCCGCCGCTGGCCATTGAAGCGGCACCGACCGCCGGGGCGCCCGCGGGCGCACGCGCCGGTGGCACGGCATCCGCGCCCGCGCCAACCGCCGCCAACGTCATCGCCATCGACGCGGCAACGCCGCCCGCCGTCGCCACCTGGGACGCGCCGGCGGCGCGCGTCACTTCCGCCGCCGCGGCCGCTGACGGCGGCGCCGCGCCAGCGCCAACCGCCTCCACCCCCGCCGTCGGCGATTCAGCGACGCCGCCCGCCATCGACATCTGGAAAACGCCGGCGGCGGTTGTCTCTTTCGCCATCTCTGCCTGCGTCCCGCGCTGCCCCGCATCCACGGACAGCGTGACCGCGGCGAAGTGCTCCGCGATGAGTTTGTCCTCGCGCGCCTTCACCTTCGCGGCCACTCCGGTCAAGTCCGTCGCCGGGGCGCAGGCCGTGAAGACGGACCGGAACCGCTCCACCGCGCAAGCGCATAGAGCTCCAGACGGGACGAGGAACGGGTACTCCTGCACCAGATCGAGGAGCCCATCGACGTACTTGTCGGCGACCAGTCCCACTGGGCGAATCTGCACGGAATGCCACGACGTCCACCTGGAATGGTTCGTGGAATTCGTGTTCTCCCGGAACAGCAGCTTCGACGCTCCGCCCTGGTGCGAGAACCCTCCTGGGCGGCCAACGGCATTTACGCCCATGGCCTCGCCGATCAGTTGGCGCAGCACGGCGCGGAACTCCTCGAAGGTCTGCGTGTGCATCCCGAAGCACCACGCACCTGGGGCATTCGCAATGCCGCCCTCTGCCGTTTCCTGGACGACAGCAGTCGGGTTGTCCTGGTGCGACGGGCTCATGTACTCGGCCACGACGTTCTGCGGCAACCCAGCATTGAATGCTGTGGCCCACTCGGGGACGTTGGCCGCATCCTTGGAAATCAAGCCGGACATCCAACGAACTGCGTTCTTGGACTCCTTCCTGCAGACAAGCTCGTCCGCATCCGCGAGCACTCCGACGATGCCGCCATCAAATGCCAGGCCCTTTGCCTGCGCACTGACGTCGAAGAATACCTCCAGCACCATGGCCTGGACCTTCGCGTTCGCGTCCATCTTGCGGGCCTTCAGCGGGGGGCCACCGGCCGACTGGAGGAACGAGGTCATGCTGAGGAAGTCAACGCGAGTTCGCTTGCCTGAGAGAACACCTTGGTCCGAAGTGGCTGCGGGACTTCCACCTTGCCTTCTCTTTCAGATGGACAGCCTTCATCTGCAGGGCTCTTGGCGTCCACGACGGCCCCATATGCCTCCACAGTGACAGTAGGACGCCCAGAAGAGGCTCCCAGCAATGCCTCCGCAGACCCAAAAGTGACCCGGCAGGCCTGCAAAATGGCGCAGCTCGCCCACGCGCATGAAAAGATATCCCCAGAATGCCTCCGAATAAATTCAAATGATATAGCAGCGGTGCTGCGAAGACAGGAACGAATCCCACAGACGGGCCAAAGTAGCCCCAAGAGGCCCCAAGAAGGCCCCAAAGATCCTCCCACGAACCCGCGAAAATGGCGAGCGCCCCCAAAGAGCCCCCGATGGGAAAGACGAACTGGCATTTTGAACCTTTCCCCCCAAGATGGCCCCCAAGAAAAAGAAAAGCCTCCCGCGGGCTCCCTGAAAAGACCCCAAAAGGCTCCAAGATGGTCTCGCGATGAGGCCCCCCAAAGCGCCCCAAGACAGCCCAAGGTGACCCCAATAAGGTCGGCTGAAGAGGCTCCCAAAATGGCCTCAAGATCAGAGGCCCCCAAGAGTGCCCCAAGACAGCCCAAGGTGCCCCCAACAAGGTCGGGGACGGCCAGCACGACAACGAGTATGGACCAGGATGGACATCAAGACGGCCGACACGGCCTTCAACGTGAAGGCTGAGTGACTCTGAATGTGAGTGAGTCTGAATGTGAATGTGTCTTCGCGTGTGAGTCTGAATATGACTGAGCACACTGTTACTGTATCTGGGTGTGAGCGGTATGCGGAAGACTCAGTCAGGGAATCAGAGAATCTGAGTTGGAGTCTGAATGGGCTGTAGGGCTATAGGGCTACAGGGCTCTAGAGCTATGCGGCTATAGGGCTATAGAGCTATGCGGCTATAGGGCTATGGGGCTATACGGCTATAGGGCTCAAGGGCAAAAGGGATATAAGGCTAT